GAGCCATCAGTAGCAAAGGATGATCTTACAGAGGATCTGGGTTCAATTCTCAGTACACACATGGTAGCTCACAACCATGGGTAAGTCCAGTTTCAGAAGATCCAGTGTCCTCATCTGACTTCTGTAGGCACAGGGAAAAATGTGCATACACATATTAAAAAAAAATCAAAAGGGCTGGAGAGATGGCTCAGTGGTTAAGAGCACCGACTGCTCTTCCAGAGGTCCTGAGTTCAATTCCCAGCAACCACATGGTGGCTCACAACCATCTGTAACGGAATCTGATGCCCTCTTCTGGTGTGTCTGAAGACAGCTACAGCGTATTCATCATGTATATAAAATAAATAAATAAAATCTTAAAAAAAATCAAAAAAAGAGAAAAAATCTTTAAAAAAAAAACCTTTGAGCTTATTTTATTTGTATATATTTATTTATTGGTACAAAACTATGGGACACATACATTCCAGAGCCATTTTCAAATCTTTCTGCACCCACCTAGAACAAAACACTTATGTATTGGACACAGCACTAGCATCCAAAGCACGTGCATTTCAAACACTTGTGCCAAAGAAGGGATCAAAGTTGAGGTAAACAAAGTGTGACAGTCTTTATTTTTTTTTTTTTTTTAATATTTATTTATTGTATTGATGAGTACACTGTAGCTGTCTTCAGACACACCAGAAGAGGGCATCCAATCTTATTACGGATGGTTGTGAGCCACCATGTGGTTGCTGGGATTTGAACTCAGGACCTCTGGAAGAGCAGTCAGTGCTCTTAACCGCTGAGCCATCTCTCCAGCCCCGTGACAGTCTTTAGATTGAAAAAAAAAACAAAACCCTCTAGTTAGGCATAGTGACACTGGTTTGTAATCGCAACCCTTGGGAGGTGGAGGCAGGAGGATCAAGAATGGGAAGTTAGCCTGAACTACATAGTAAGATTTTGTCTGAAAGTTAACACTAAAACGTCTAAAAAGCTCTTAAGTTCGGGGAGATGCGACGGTATCAGAGCAGGCAGTGAAAAAATGTCACAGGGAAGTGTGGAGTCCAAGACGTAAGCTGGGTGGTAAAGGACCAGGCCTGTGTTAAAACAAACAAAATGTAAACAAAGACCGCCATTACCTCCAGGCCTGGCTAAGGGTGACCGCTGAAGTGCACAGCCCTTTTGTTTAACAAACTGCCTTAATGGATCTGGGAAGAGGTGCTTTGCCGAGACTGGGTTCTTGCCCTGCGTAGTTCCACCAGGCACCGGGTCTGAGTGATTGGCACCCCCTGGAGCAACACTCAGGCTGCGTTCTTTGTGAGCAGTACCCCCTGGGATTGTGCAACTTGGCTATTAAGTCAGTAAAGATGTCCTGGAGTCTGGCCTTGAGATAAAGATTAAGACGTAAATTCTTCTACATAATAAAATAACAGTAATTTCAAGTGTTCTTTGCGGGGGGGGGGGTGAGGGGTGGGGGTGTGTGGGTGAGGGGAGTGTGGGGTGTGGGGCAAGAGGGTGGAGAGGTGCTTGAAATGGGGGGGGGGAAGCTTTGGGTTAAATGTGTGTTTAGGATGAAGGTTGGGCTAGCATTTTGGTACCGAAGTGGGATTTGTGAACCTTGTGAGAAATTTCTGTCACTTAAATTACAAGTCTGGCAGGGTGGCAGGGAATGAAACCCAGGGCCTTGGGCATGTTAAGCCTATTATCATTGAGGTATACCCCTGCTCCTTGATTTTTAGTCAGGGATTTATTATATTTAGTTCAGGCTGGCCTCGTGCCTCCACTTGCTAAACACTGGTATTACACGTACACACGTGGTCTACCTCATCCTGCTCTCTGTGGAGTCAACAACAACAACACATAAGATCCTTTATTAGCTTCTATATCCTTTAGGAGACTTTGGCAAATGAAGTTAAACAGCATTTTTTTTTTTTTTGAGGGGCAGTCGGGCACTCTTCTATATGAATCAGGGAATGAACAACCAAAACTCCAAAGCCCAGGCTCACCAATGTGAGCGATGTGTGTCTAAATGCACGATACTATAATTTGCCTTTTTTTTTTTTTTTTTACTGTTTTTCTTCAAAGAGCTGAAAGCACTTTTATTCTCTCATTTCTTTTGACATTCTAGCATGGGCGGGGCCGATTTATGATAGCATTATTTATAGTTGGAGAAATTGAAAATAGAGATGAAATCGCTTACTCAAGGCTGCGTGGCTGGGGTGGTGGAGTCGCTGGAATGCGCTTCTCCGGGCTCCAGCCACAAAGTGGAAAAGCGCAAGAGCTTTGGAATTAGAGGGATCTTTGAGTAACGCCGATTCTACCCCGAACAAGAATGTGACCTTAAGTCAGTTACTTCACCTCGGGCTTGGCTCTTCTCATTTGTAAAAGTAAGACCATAAAAACCTTACAGCACATTGAAGATGAATTTAGAAAATGCACGCAAAGCCTCCCGACACCCAGCAGGTCTCAAGTAAGATTTGTGTCACCACCCCCTCCCCCACCTCAGAATCATATGGTTCAGTTTCAGTACAAATCAAGAAGAATTCCCCCATTAAAACTCATTTTCCCCATTTTTATCTCCTGTGGAAAGAAAAAGATGAATAAAAATGTTCCAAAATGTCATTTAGTTAATGGGAACCCCCTTTCCCCCCTCTTTCTTTCTTTCTTTCTTTCTTTCTTTCTTTCTTTCTTTCTTTCTTTCTTTCTCTTTTTCTTTCTTTCTTTCCTCTTCTTTTTTTTTTTTTTTTTGACGAGCCGTGTAGCTAGCTCAGTGGCTAATGGGCTCAGAGACAGACTTGAATCCTCAGCGCTACAAAACTAACATGCCTTTCCTCCGAGCGAGAACAACAATCCCATGCTGTAGATTTACCACAATTAAGAAAAGAATATGCAAAGGATAGGTTACTAGAATACTGTGGATCTTTAACTCGACGTCTTATCAGATGCCCTCGTTGGGGAGGAGGGACTCTTAAAACTAGGATTGTTCCGTCTAATCCTAGAGTTATAGCTTTACAAGTCTGGGCGGGGCCTGGTAATTTGCATCTTTAATAAGTTCCCCGGTGACGCTGAGCTGCCAGACCGGGGACACACCTTGAGAAGCACTACCCTGGGTAAGTGAAAGGTTGGGGATGGGGCCCAGCAATTTGTTTAACAAGCCCTCCAGGTGACTGCGAGGCACTCCACTTTCAAGCTGGAGACCTGCTGGCAGCATGGTGAAAAGCATCTGAGAACACAGATTCACTTTTAAATCCCGGCTTCACCACTTACCAGTTATATGACAGTCTGTGATTGAGGGTTCCCCTCACTAGGTCTCTAGGCTGTGTGTGTGTGTAGTGTGCGCACGCGCGAGCGCGGTGTGACTGTCTGCCCACTCGTACACGAGTGCTTGTGCCTGGGATTGGGGGGTGGGGATGGTAAACGGCTGGAGACAGCCTAAGTTTTGTCTGTGCAGGCTCATTTTTTTCCCCCTTCAGTCTACTAGGAGGCATGAAAGGCTGCTTGAACTTGAGAATTCTGGAAGTATTTACAAACATTTCTGCAATTAAGTAAAACACAAGGCACTACTTTAAATAGAGCAATAGTGATGGGGTTGTTTGCATCTTAAATTTGTAATAAGGGTTTTTCTTTTACCCTGCCTTTCTCAAAGCAGAACGTTTTAAAACTTGTGCCTGCAGCATTTAACAGACACTATGCATGCTAAGAAACTCTTTTCTTTTTCTTTCTTCATTCCTTCTTTTCTTCCTCTTCCTCCTCTTCCTCCTCCTCTTCTCTTCCTTTTTTTCCGGACAAGAATCTCGCTATATAGTCCTGGCTACCTTTGTCTGGAAACTCACTGTAAAGCCTAGGCTGACCAGAAACTCTCCGGACCCTTCCTGCCTCAGCCTTTTTAGACTGCTGAAAATACAGACACAAACTACCTCGCCAGGCTTGAGCCGTTTTCTTCCTTGTGGGGTTTCCCTTCACACTGAAAACCTGCCTTCAGTATTTGATGCGTTTCTTGATGTTGTGGCAGAGAAAATCTTTTAAGATCGTCTCTCTTCCTTGCCTGACATCTGACTCTGTAGGCTCGCATATTGTCTTTGGCCAGTTTCCAAAGTGCCCAGGTCTTCTCTATTGCTTGTTACTGGGTTAGGTTTAAGAATTGTGTGGACTGACTCAGTCCTAGGTACTCTGAAATGTTTACCATGCATTATATTAGTTTTAACTTCTACAATCCAGAGATGAACACCACACACACACACACACACACACACACACACACAAACCAGGGTGGAATGTAAAGTAACAGGATCCTGGCATTAGGATTGCAGAACTCTCATCTCAGCCGTTGCTGAAGGTGCAAAGGATGACTGATATAGGGAAATACAGTTTGGCTGTCGTCTTTGGATAATTTAAAAAGTCTTGTTTGGGGTAAATGAGAGTTCTACACATACCACAAATTAAAGTAGAACCAAGAGCCAGCATATGTGGTAAAGTTTGATACCTGGCCTTCCTGTAAGGCATAGAGAATAGAAAACACCCATTTCCAGGAGTTTGAAGGTTATTAAAAGAGTTAACGCCGCCGAAGCGCGTAGTGAACGCACTGTCTACCACGCCGCCGTAAGCCTTCCTTCGATAAATGTCAACTGCACTTTCATGTGGGACAGAAGCGAGGAAGGAGAACACCGCCGGCCGGTCGGCAAGCCGGGTGAGTGCACCCGGCTCAGCTAAACTAGATTCTCTGAGCTTCTGTAGAATTAGGTGGCTGGAAGAGAACGATCCTAACAGCGGTTAAAATAAGGGGTGCCGGCCGTAGCCTGGGGCCTGCGCGATCACAGGGGTTAGCAAGGAGCCCGGGGGCGGGTCCGCTGGCGCCAGGCGCGGAGGCTCCGCCCCTCTCGGGAGGGCTGGCAGCTCCAGCCTGGGAGCAGTTCCGGTGCCAAAACCCTGCCCTCCCCCGCTCCCCCGGAAGTGCTTGTCTAGGGTTCGGGCTGGAGAGAGGCCTGCTAGACACAGGCGCCGAGGCTCCGTCGGCTCAGAGCAGGGGGTCGGGTCGCGGAGAGAGTGAGAAGCTCCGCGGCCGCCACCCCGCGCCCTCGCAGCGCCTTCGCGCCGACGGTGAGTAGCCGGGTAAGCGGAGCCGGGCCTGCGCCGGGCGGGCGAGCCTCGGACCCGGCTGTCCGCTTGCAGGTTCAGCTGTCCGGGTCCGGGAAGGGGGTCGTCGGCCGCCGCGGAGCGCGCGCGGCCCGCGGGCCGGGAAGAGGCGCGTTGCGGGGCCGCGGAGTGGGCGGGGCGCAGCAGGAGCGGGTTCCCGGAGCCGCCGAGGGGACTGGGGCTCGGGGCCGGGCGGTCCGCGCTGCAATCCCCTCTTTGCTTGGGCAAGTGGGCTCGGTGCCTCCGCTGTAGGGTCTGTGCACCCGGGCGCTGAGGACCGGGACAGACAGACCGCACCGGACATCAGTGCCCGATTTTCGTCGCCTCTTGGGTCTGTCCCCCATCTCGCGGCTCAGTAATTATCCCGTGTCCCAGGGGTGTAGTCTCAGTCCGAGGGTGGGGCGCTCCGTGTGGATGCTGGCGATCTGGTGCGGGGCTTTTCATCTCGACCTGCGTCAGGGTCGCCGGGGTTCGATTTAGACTCGGCTCGAAACTTAACTGGGTCTGGATGTCTGCGAAGGAAGGGTACTGAGGCAGTACCGTTCCTCGAAGGGTCTTTGCTCGCTTGAAAGCTGAAACTGTTGGGAGTTACTTCTTAAAAAAACAAAGATTTGAGGAGATTGCAGATGAGTTTCCCCGTGTTCTTGCTGACGTAAAAAAAAAAAAAAAAGGATGCTATTCTCTAATCAGCCTTCAGAATTCCTGCGCTCATCCTAAGTCACAGTTGTAAGAGTTCAGTTGGGACATGGCACAAGTTGACTTCAAAGGGCTGGAAAATGATATCCTTTTCTACCCGTTTGTTTACTTTTGTACATGGAACTGTCATTTCTTGAGCTAATAACAATAATAATTGTCCTCAGTTTCTCCCCAGAGGTTCTTTGTGAGGTCCAACTGTTGCAACGCAGAGGTTTCCACAGCTGGACAGAGGTGTCCAATAAACTGAAAAGTTCCTCGGGAAGAAAATCTTGTAGGCACTCTTAGTAAACAGAGTTTAGGTGATAAACTACCGGTGAAAAGGTTTGTAGGAAATAATGAAGCTATTTTCCACTTGTATTGAGTTTTAAATTATAATCAGATAGTTTAGTTGTTGCAAATGACCTTGTGGTGGTGGTGTCAAGTCTACACAAGTCATCTTCATGAGTCCGGTGACATTATCTGCACTTCTTTTTATGCTTATCTTAGGATTTATACTGTTTTGTCTTTGTCTTTCTGTGTCTATCTTTCTTTCTTGTACTGAGGCCGTTCTCCTTCCACTACTGGAAGGGAAGATAGTATCAATGAGGGGAATGATCTGAAATGACAGTTCCATAAACTGTCTTATGCAAAAAGACAATTTATTTCATTAAAAAAATTTTTCTCTGTGTGTGTAATGCCAGAGGTTCACATTGGGTGTCTTCCTAGACTACCCGTCATTGTCACATCCTCATCATCATCGCCATGGTTGTCATCATCAGTTTGAGACAGAGTCTCCTGAGCTTGCACTTCTGGCTGGGCTGCCTGGCCAGCAAGCCCCAGGGACCCTCCTGTGGTTGCTCCGTGCCCCCAGTCCAGGTCTAGCGGTTATAGGCACATGCCCCAGCATCTAGTTTTTATGTGGGTGCTGGAGATGCCAATTCAGGTCCACATGCTTGCTCAGCAAGCACTTCCCATGGAGCAATCACTCCAGCCCCCCGAATCTGTGTCAAGGTTGTTGATATTCAACAGACAAAGGGGGTGCATTTTTAAGCCTGTGGGAAAATGTGAGTGGAGATGAGTGGCACAGCGTTTAGACTCGGGATGATGTGGTAGCCTCTTAGTGTTCCAAGTACTCAGTTGTTCAGAGCCCAGGATGGGGATTTTAAATTAAAGTCTGGAAAATGAGTCAAGTTAGATTGATTATGTATTTGTACTCTGGATATAGTGTGTTTTGAAGGAAAAAAAAAACTATGGGAGTTGTAAAAGCAAAAAAGGAAATTGGTGAAAATCAGATACTTTCAGGCATTATATCTTTTAACTGTTGCTCAAGTCAATTCAAATGACATTGAGCGTTTTCTGTGGGTCAGACTCTTAGTGAACCATGTAGGGAAGAACAAAGACAAAGCTGTTAGAACTTCAGATTCATGTTTTGATAATTTTCCAAGGTGTGTTGAAATCATGAAGAATTGAATTGTACTGTCTAGGAATACCAAACCTCCTCTGAATTGGGACTTAATTTGGAGGGAGGTGTCGAGTGCTTCATTAAGCATGCTGTGCTAGGCACTCTGAGTCACAAAGATTAAGTCTAGTCTCTGAGAATTTGAGTCTAGTAGGGATGTAAGATATTCGTACAGAAGCTTACAGTGTAAATGAGTATCTGTCTGGATGTGGTGGCATGTGTGCGGCGGCAAAGGAGTCACAGGCACGATGACAGTAAGCTATTAGTCAGGCTGACCCTGTTCACAACAAAAGATTGAAAACAAAACGTGTATGTAAATACTTAGCCACATAGATGGTTTATCTAAAGTTTGGGCTTGTACAAAAGCAAAACGTTTGTTACAGCTTAAGTCATATGTTATGCATAGAAGCACGGTAACACTTGTGAGGTAGGCCAATTCTATTACTTATTGGGTGCTTAGTTCTATTATAGTTGTGTTTTCTCAACAACATAGAAGCTTCTTTCTTTTGAGACAGGGGTCTCCCTGTGTAGGCAGCTCTCTGAATAGTCAGGATACTGTCATCTCAAACATGTCCAGTAACTCCCCCTAGAGTTATGTGGCTAGCAGAACTGTCGTATTTGAAGCCAGATGCGCCTTGTTGGAAGCTGGTATTCCTACTACTTCCCAATACACTTCTTTATATTTAATGTAGTTCCTGAGACAGGGCCTCCTATATCTCAAGGAGACCTAGGGTTGACCTTGAACTTCTGATCTGCAGTCTCGACCTCCTTCCTCTGCTTGGGATTACAGACATACCCTGCTCTTAAACTGGCAGTCTTAAGTTAGTTGGTAACTGAGGGTTAAACTCTTCTAAAACAGAGATTCAGGAGGTAGGACTTGTGGGTAAAAAAGGCCTTTTAAATTAAGAGAACAACAATTTTGGAAATGAGAAGGCTCATGTTGTGGATAAAAGTTAGTGTTCCAGATGACCTAGATGGTTTGTTTTGGAATTAGAGATGAAGTTTGCAATTTATGTCAAGGCCGCATTGTGGAGTATGTTTAGATGCTATATTTAGAAGCTCAACATTTTGAAGAAAACAAGAAGTGTGTACCTTGCAGTAGTTTAGTGTGCAGAATGATTTATTATGGCAAGCTATTAATATACAACAGTGCATACTGTGAGTGCTGGTGGAGCGAGCAGGGCCAGCAGGCCTGAGTGGAGCGCTGGAGAGGAGGCAGGGGTGGAAAGCCACGTCTTCTAACTGTGGATGTTGACAGTTGCACCGCTAACTAGGAATATGAGCAAGGAGTTGCATAATTAGGTTTCATTTTTTTTTTTGATAGGGTAGCCTTAAACTCACAGTTCTGCCCTGATCTGCAGAGAAACTGTGATTAACAATGTGTGCTATCAGGCCAGACATGCTGAGAGGGTTTGTTTTTTTGTTAATTTAATATACTTACAGGAACTACTTAGAAGCTTTTGGCGATGAAGGTTTTCAGTTCAAGAGAGAGGTCAGAGCTATTTTATATATATAGAAAATACAAATAGATTATTCAGATAGATATACTAGTTGAATCTGTGCAAGGAGATGAAAGTACCAAGGCGGTGTGTAGAGGGAAACAAAACAGCAGCCGCAGCACCAAGCCTTCATTTAAATGCATCTGCTTAAAATGAAGAGAAACAGTAAGTAGACTGTTGTATGCAGTGGATAAGGAATTTGGTAATCTGGGTCGTTTCCTTGAACTATAAATTCAGATGGAGAAGAAAGAAATCTGTTCATTAAAATTCCTGTCAAGGGCTGTTGAGATGACTCAGCAGGTAAAGGTGCTGTCACCATGTCTCATGACCCAAAGTTCTATTCCTGCCACCCACATGGTAGGAGGAGGGTACCAGCTTTGCAGGGTGTTCTCTGACCTCCCCATGCAGGTCACGGTGACTTGCCCTCTCATTGAACACACACACAGGCAGACACACACACACACACACACACACACACCCTCTCCTTGCAGGCCCCCTACCCTCAGCAGCTAACAACAGAATCAAGAAATAGAAATTTCTTGACTTTGCTGGCAAGACTGTTGTGTCACTGTCCAGGTCCCGCAAGCTCCAGCTCTTTTGGGGCCCTTTGGGCATTTGTCTAGTGAGTGCTGGGTCAAGACTTAGAGGTAATTGTGGCATTTCATTTATTCCTTGTGTGTATGAGTTTCATTTTTATTTTGATATTAAGGACCTCTGATATTCAAAGACATTACGTGTGCCTCTCATTACAGTGACTGTTAATACTGCCGTTTATAAAATGGTGCTTGTATATCTTTTCCCTCTGGCTACTTACTGTTTCTATGCATATAAGTATGCATATGAGTACACCACCATTATTCTCTTCAGACACACCAGAAAAGGGCATCAGACCCCATTTCAGATGGTTGTGAGCCACCATGTGGTTGCTGGGAGTTGAACTCAGGACCTCTGGAAGAGCAGTCGGTGCTCTTAACTGCTGAGCCATCTCTCCAGCACGGGTTGTAACTTTTTAAAGAAAGGCTTGTTTTTAGTCGGAGTTGCTGTAGAAGCATTTGTTTGCTTCTTAAGAATTAACATCTTGCCAGGCGGTGGTGCCGCACGCCTTTAATCCCAGCACTTGGGAGGCAGAGGCAGGGGGATTTCTGAGTTCGAGAGTTCGAGGCTGGCCTGGTCTACAGAGTGAGTTCCAGGACAGCCAGGGCTACACAGAGAAACCCTGTCTTGAAAAAAAAAAAAACCAAAAAAAAAAAAAAAAGAATTAACATCTTTAGCTTTTCAAGAGTGTGGTTCTCACTGCATCCTAGGTACTGGGAGATGTCCAGAGTCCCTCA